TATCCCTCATCTCAAACATTTATTATCTTGTTTTTTTTTTTTTGGAAACATAGTTTTCCTCTGTTGCCCAAGCTGGAGTGCAGTGGCGCAATCTCGGCTCACTGCATCCTCCACCTCCTGGGTTCAAGTGATTCTCCTGCCTCAGCCTCCTGAGGAGCTGGGATCACAGGCGCCTACCACCATGCCTGGCTAATTTTTGTATTTTTAGTAGAGACGGGGTTTCACCATGTTGTTCAAGCTGGTCTTGAACTCCTGACCTCAAGCAATCCACCTGCTTCAACCTCCCAAAGTGCTGGGATTACAGGTATGAGCCACCGCACTCAGCCTAAACATTCATTAACTTTTTGTTTTGGGAACATTCAATATCCTTCCATCGCCGGGCGCGGTGGCTCATGCCTGTAATCCCAGCACTTTGGGAGGCCGAGGCGGGCGGATCACAAGGTCAGGAGATCGAGACCATGGTGAAACCCCGTCTCTACTAAAAATAGAAAAAATTAGCCGGGCGCAGGGGCGGGCGCCTGTAGTCCCAGCTACTCAGGAGGCTGAGGCAGGAGAATGGCGTGAACCCGGGAGGCGGAGCTTGCAGTGAGCCGAGATTGTGCCACTGCACTCCAGCCTGGGTGACAGAGCGAGACTCCGTCTCAAAAAAAAAAAAAAAAAAATCCTTCCATCTTTTGGAAACTGTAAAATACACTATTGTGAACTATAGTCATTCTCCATTGCTGTAGAACACTAGAACTTATTCCTCCTATCTAGCTGTAATTCTGTAACTTTTAACAAACCTCTGCCTATCCTTCTCTTCCTGCTTCCCTTCTGAGCCTCTAATATGCTCTATCCTACTTTTTACTTCTATGAGATCAACCCTGATACAGTTTGGATGTTTGTGCCCTCCAAATTTCATGTTGAAATGTGATCTCCAGTGTTGGAGATGGGCCTGGTGGGAGGTGTTTGTGTCATGGAGTGGATCCCTCGAGAATGGCTTCATTCTCTTCCCATGGTAATGAGTGAGTTTTCGCTCTATTAGTTCACATGAGAGCTGGTTGTTTAAAAGAGCCTGGCATTTCTCACTTGTTCCCTCTCTTGCCACGTGACATGCCTGCTCTCCCTTAGCCTTCTGCCATGATTGTAAGCTCCCTGAGGCCCTCACTGGAAGCAGTTGCTGGCACTAAGCTTCTTGTAAAGTCTGCAGAACCATAAACTAAATAAATCTGTTTTCTTTATAAATTACCCAGCCTCAGGTATTCCTTTATAGCAATGCAAAATGGATTAAAACAAACTCATTTTAGCTTCCACATATGAATGAAAACATGTTTAACTTTCTGTTCCTGTCTTATTTCACTTAACATAATGTCTTTCAGTTCCATCCATGTTGCCAAGAATGACAGGATTTCATTCTTAATGACTGAATAGTATTTCATTGTGGATATATACCACATTTGCTTTATCCATTCGTTTGTTGTTGGACACTTAGATTGATTCCATATCTTGACTATTATGAGTAGTGCTGCAAGAACATGGGGGTGCAGATGTCTCTTTGAGATGCTGATTTCCTTTCTTTTGGATAAATATCCAGCAGTGGGATTGCTGGATCATATGGTTGTTCTATTTGTAGTTTCCTGAGGAACATCCATACTGTTCTCCATAGTGGCTGTACTGGTTTACGTTCCCACCAACAGTGTAGAAGAGTTCCTTTTTCTTCACATCCTCGCAAGCATTTGTTATTTATTTATGTTTGTCTTTTTGATAATAGCCATCCTAACTGAGGTGAGATGATACCGCATTGTGATTTTGATTTGCATATACCTGATGATTAGTGATGTTGAGCTTTAACAAATATATTTTTGGCCATTTTTATGCCTTCTTTTGAGAAATGTCTGTTCAGATTATTTGCCCATTTTTATATTAGATTGTTTTTCTTTTGTTGAGATGATTCAGTTCCTTGTATATTCTAGATAGTAATCTCCTGTTGGATGGGTAGTTTGCAAACATTTTCTCCCATTCTGTAGGTTGTCTTTTCACTCTGTTGATTGTTTCTTTCTTTTATTTTTTTGAGAAAGAGTCTCACTCTGTTCCCCAGGCTGGAGTGCAGTGGCATGATCACAGATCACTGCAGCCTCGACTTCCCCAGACTCAGGTGATCCTCCCACCTCAGCCTCCTGAGTAGCTGGGACTACAGCCATACACCATCATGCCTGGCTAATTTTTGTGTTTTGTGTAGAGATGGAGTTTCAGCATGTTTCCCAGGCTGGTCTTAAACTCCTGGGTTCAAGTGATCCTCCTCACTTAGCCTCCCAAAGTGCTGGGATTGCAGGTGTGAGCCATTGGGCCTGGTCTTGTTGACTTTTTTCTTTGCTATGCAGAAGATTTTTAATTTGGTAAAATTTCACTTGTTTAGTTTTGCTATTGTTGTCTGTGCTTTTAAAATCTTATTCATAAAATATTTTCCCAGACTCATGTCCTCTGTTTTCTTCTCATAGTTTTATCATTTTTGGTCTTACACTTAGGTCTTTGATCCATTTAGGGTTGATTTTCGTATAAGGCGAGAGGCAGGGGTCTAGTTTCATCCTTCTGCCTATGGATATCCAGTTTCCCCAGCACCTTTTATTGAAGAGACCTTCTTTTCCCCAATTAGTGTTCTTGGGACCTTCGTCAAAAATCAGTTAGCAGTATATATGTGGATTAATTTCTGGATTCTCAATACTGTTTCATTGGTCTGTGTATCTAATTTTATGCCAGTACCATGTTGTTTTGGTTACCCCGGCTTTGTAGTATATTTTGAGGTCTGGTAGTGTGATACCTTCAGTGTTGTTCTTTTTGCTTATGATTACTTTGGTTATTTGGGGTCTTTTGGATTTTTTTTTCTATTTCTGTGAGAAATGTCACTGGTATTTTGATAGAGAGAGCAGTGTTATTGCAACATTATTAATTCTTACAATCCATCAGCATGGGCTGTCTTTCCATTTGCTTGCATCCTCTTCAATTTCTTTCATCAGTGTTTCGTAGTTTCCCTTGTAGAGATCGTTCACTTTCTTGGTTAAATTTATTTCTAGGTATTTTAATATTTTTGTGGTTATTGTAAATGAAATTTCCTTATTAATTTCTTTTTCAGCTAGTTTATTGTTCATGTATAGAAATGCCACCGGTTTTTGTATATTAATTTTGTATACTGGAACTTCACCGAATTCATTTATCAGTTCTAAGAGTTTTATTGCTAGAGTCTTTAGGTTTTTCTAGATATAAGAGCATGCAATCTGCAGATAGGGACAATTTAACTTTCCACATTCCAACTTGAATGTCTCTTATTTCTCTCTCTTATCTAATTGCTCTGAATGGGACTTTCAGTGCTATGTTGAATAAGAGTAGTGACAGTTGGGCATTCTTGTGCTGTTCCATTTATTAGAGGAAAAGCTTTCAGCATTTCCCCATTCAGTAAGATATTCACTGTGTGTTTGTCATACATGCTATTTATTACATTGAGGTACTTTCTATACCTAATTTGTTGAGAAATTTTTTTATTATGAAGGGATGTTGAATTTTATCAAAAACTTTTTCTGCATCTATTGAGATGATCATGTGATTTTTGCCCTTCATTCTATTGATGAGATGTATGATGTTTATTTATTTGCATATTTTGAACCAACTTTGCATTCCTGGGATAAATCCCACTTGATCATGGTATATTATCTTTCTGATGTGTTGTTTGGTTCTGTTTGCTGATATTCTGTTGAGAATTTTTGTGTCTCTTTTCATCAGAGATGTTGGCATGTAGTTTTCTTTGTTGTGTCCTTGTCTCATTTTGGTGTCAGTAATGAGTAGAATGAGTTAGGATGAATTCCTTGCCTTTTAATTTTCTGGAATAGTTTAAGAAGAATTGGTATTAATTATTCTTTAAAGATTCGACAGAGGGTGTGGGATAGGGGTAGGGAGTGCATACCTTATGCTTCTAATCTGGAGCAATGCAGCTGTGCAGATTCCTGGCAGCTCTCCAAACTGGACTCAGGGCTTGCAAGAACTGTGACATCCTCCTTTTGTAAGGACTGTAGGTGTTTGCTGTGTCAACAGGGGTTGATGAGGTCCTTCTGTTTATCTTTTCTATGCAATGAGAAGTCCCTCCTGACTCCAGGCAGATTCAATCTGAACAGGGGATACAGGGCTGCAGAGACTGAGTGCCTGCATGCTGCCTTTCTGGACTGCCATTTACCACAGTTGCATCTTCACTCCCCCACTGTACTCCAGCACCCTCCCTTCAATACTCCAATCAAATCTTATCTGTTTATTCATTGCCTTGGTCCTTTTCTTGGTTGGGTAGGGGAGGCAGGCAGAATTCTAGGCATCTCTAATCAACCATGTGCTGACATCACTCTTTCAAATGATCTGTAGTTTATTTTTATTTTTATTTTTTTAAGAAAAAATTGTGTTACAAGGATTCTATATTTATACCTTGTGCTAGGAGACTTAAGGTCATTAAAGTATAATAGAACCCCTACTTTACAACAGAAGTGGATATATAGTCATCTATAGCATGGTAGAATTCGAACATCACTTCTGTGGCTTTAGTAACTGTGACCTGGCTCTATCTGGATGTGCAATTGCTGAGGAAATGTTAAAATCAAAACTTGGGCACTGATTTTTTTTAAAAAAGTAATTATATAGAACTCACCAAAATTAGTTTTTTTTCCCAAAATGCTCACTGTGCTTTTAAAATAATTAATATTAAGTATCCCTCTGTGTGAAGATCATGACCATCATATCACTATGTCAACAATGATCTTTGAGAGTTAAAAGAATAAAAGATAGGAGAGGAGAGCCATCTTGTTGGTGCAAAGAAGATTCTTAGAAGTACCAACTGAGAGATAAAAATGCTGGCCTGGAAACTAGTAACCTTCTCATGATGTCATTAAGGCAAAAGTTGACTATGACTGGAGCTAAGAGACACCGGAGTTATCTATTTTGCATTTCATGGTTCTTTTTTCCTCTCTCTCGTCATTTTGGGTTTCCAGCTGAGACATTACAACAAAGATTAGAAGACCTGGAACAAGAGAAAATCAACCTGCACTTTCAGCTTCCTTCAAGGCAGCCAGCTCTTAGCAGCTTCCTGGGTCACCTGGCAGCACAAGTCCAGGCTGCCTTGCGCCGTGGGGCCACTCAGCAGTGAGTACTTGTCATTGTCACCATTTTCCCCTCAGGTTTCTTCCTACCTCTCAGCTCCCACATAGTGAAGAGCTGGGAGGAGCTTAGCTGTAGAGACCCTCGGCTGCCTTTCCTGGGAAGGGCCCTTTGTTGGTTGAGAAGGTGGGGATTCTTCCAGAGTGAGGGATGACCCATGTGAGTCATGCTTCTCTAGAAAGAAGACTTTTCTGCTACTTGACAGAGAGAGACCCTCCTCAAGTGCAACTGCATCCCAGGTCTGAAGCATCTCTTGGGAAGCTACCCTTCTAAGAAGGTGGGGATAATTTCCTCTTGTTGAGGCAGCTTGGTGTCCTGTGATCATAGTAAGTCTGTAAGATAAACAGATGGTCCCCTCTGACCAAGCGATGAAAATCCATCCTCCTCCTAACTCTACCTCCAGCTCCTGAGCAACGTTTGCTATTTCTGTCACCCAAGGGTCTTCTGAGATCAGTAATACATAGAGAGCAATTGCTGCTTCTAATCCAGTGGCTTGTAGTCCTGGCTGCATGTTTGAATAACTTAGAAAGATTTAAAACCTACCAATGTCCAGGCTCCACCCCAGGCAAGCTAAGTCAGAATGTCTAGGTGTGGGAGGCAAGGGTGGCTCCCAGATATTGGCATGCTTAAAAAGGCTGAGAACCACTGCTCCATCTACCTGCGTGTTCCCTCTCTCCCCAGGTAAAGGTCTGAGAGGGAACAGGTGTTTTATGAATGCTATGAGCCTCATCACAATTCAGGTCTCTTTCTACTTAGTTATCAACATGGCCACAACAATTCCACTTTATTTCCCACTTCCAATTGACCCTGACAATCACAAGATTTTCTGGCCTATTCCTATTAAGTGTACATGGCATTATACATTTAGTTTATTTTGGTACCTCCCTAAAGCCTGCCTGCACAGTGAGGCCAATTATTTTCTCAGTTTTGCCAGTAGCATATAGCAGAGTGAATGGCACCTGGTAGGTGCTTCCTTGTAACTATTTGCTTAGTGAACTTTTTCATGGTTCTCTTCAATAGGGAGTAAATTTCACCTCGCCATTTTTATTCTTTTCTAATCTGACATTTAGACATCATTGCAACATTGCGTGTTCCTCTTTCTTTCACACATGAGACCACTCCCAAGTTGACTTTTTATGTAATTCTCTCATTCTTTTATCTTTGGGGTTATTTCTTATCCTCTACTCCAGTCTTGGGAGATTTTTAGCATATAAAAATGGGGCACAAAAATTGAGGCACAATAAATTTAGCTAATTTTTTATGTTTCTATTTAACAAACACTTTCATAACAGTTACTAAGTGCTTTAGAAGTTACTCATTTAACTTATTTCCATTTTTTAAAATTGTGGTAAAATACACATAACATAAAACCCATCATCTTAAGTGATGGTGATTGAGTGATTAAGCCATTATTAAGTATACAGTTCAGTGGTATTAAATACATCATAATGTTGTGCCATTCATCTCCAGAACTTTTTCCTCTTCCCCAGGTGACACTTTGTACCCATTAAGAAATAAATCCCCATCCCTTCCCCTCTTCCAGCCCCTGACAATCACATTCTAATTTCCATTTCTCTGAATTTGTCTACTCTGTGTACCTCATACAAGTGGAATCATACAGTATTTGCTGTTTTGTGACTGACATTTCTCATAGCATAGTGTCTTCAGTGTTCGTTCATCTGATAGCATGTGTCAAAATTTCCTTTCTTTCAAGGCTGTATAATACTCCATTGTATGGATAGACTACAGTTTGCTCATTCATTCATTTAAATAACTCATTTAATGTTCATGACAATTCTAACGGGTATTATTATTTTATATATATTATTTTATATATTTTATTATATATTGCATTAAATATATATATTTTATATATTTCATATATTTATATATAATATTATTTTATACATTGATATCTATGTGTATAGAGATCCGTTATCTACATCTATACCTGAATTTTAGGATGAGGAAACCAGGCCCAAGAGAAGCTAACAAACTTAGGCAGACCAACCAGCAGGTGAGTGCTGAGGGAGACAGAAACCCAACTGTCTGGCTTGCATCCTGGCCCTGAATCAGTGCACTGTGCTGCCTTTTAGCCCTACCTGCAATTTGGATGGAGAGTGTATTAGTCCATTGCTATAAAGAAGTAACTGAGACTGAGTAATTTATAAATGAAAGAAGATTGATTGGCTCATGGTTCTGCAGACTATACAGGGAGCATGATGGTAGCATCTGCTCAGCTTCTGGGGAGGCCTCAGGAAACTTACAATCATGGTGGAAGGTGAAAGGGGAGCACACACATTGCATTGCCAGAGTAGGAATGAGAGAGAGAAAAGAGGGAGGTGCCACACACTTTTAACCAACAAGATGTCATGAGAAGTCTATCATGAGAATAGTGCCAGAGAATGGTGCTAAACCATTCATGAAGTATCTACCCCCATGATCCAGTCATCTCCCACCAGACCCTGCCCTCCAACACTGGGGATTACAATTTGACATGAGACTTGGGTGGGGACACAGATCCAAACCATATCATTCCACCCATGTTCTCCCCAAATCTCATGTCTTTCTCACATTGCAAAATACAATCATCCATTCCCAAAAGTCTTAACTCATTTCCAGTGTTAACTCAAAAGTTCAAAGTCCAAAGTCTCATCTGAGACAAGGCTAGTCCCTTCTGCCTGTGAGAGTTTGTAAAATATAAAAACAGTTAGTTACTTCCAAGATGTAGACATTGGGTCAATACTCCTGTTCCAAAAGAGAAAAATTGGCCAAAAGAAAGGGACTATAGGCCCCATGCAATTTGAAGCCCAGAAGGGCAGTCATTAAATCTTAAAGCTCCAAAATAATCTCCTTTTGACTCCATGTCTCACATACAGATCACACTGGTGCAAGGAGTGGGCTCCTGTGACCTTGGGCAGCCCTACCCCTGTGGCTTTGCAGGGTACAGCCCCTGCAGTGGCTCTCACAGGCTGGCATTGAGTGCATGCAGCTTTTCCATGCTGAGGATGCAAGCTGCCAGTTGGATCTACTATTCCAGGCACTGCAGGATGGTGGCCCCCTTCTTACAGCTCCACTAGGCAGTGCCCCAGTGGCGACTCTGTGTGGGGCCTCCAACCCCACATTCCCCCTCCGTATTACCCTAGTAGTGGTTCTCCATGAGGGGTCCTGCCCTGCAGCAGACTTCTGCCTAGACAACCAAGCTTTTCCATACATCCTCTGAAACCTAGGCAGATACTCCCAAGCCTCAACTCTTGCACTCTGTGCACCCTCAGTCTTAACACCATGTGGAAATTACCAAGGCTTATGGCTTGCACCCTCAGAAGCAGTGGTCCAAGGTGTATCTGGACCCCTTTGAGCCATGGTGGAGTTGGAAAAACTGACAGCAGTGTGGGGAGCAACGTCCTGAGCCTGTGCAGAGCAGTGGGGCCCTGGGTCTGCCCCATGAAACCATTCTGTCCTCCTAAGCCTCCAAGCCTATGAGGGGAGGGGCTGCCATGAAAGTCTCTGAAATGCCTCTGAGGCCTTTTCACCATTGTCTTGGCTATTAGCACTGAGCTCCTTCTTACTTATGCAAATTTTTGCAGCCTGCTTGAATTCCTCCTCTGAAAATGGGCTTTTCTTTTCTACCACATGGCCAAGCTGCAAATTTTCCAAACTTTTATGCTTTGTTTCCCCTTTAAATGTAAGTTCCAACTTTAGGTCATTTCTTTGCTCATGCATATGAGAATAGGTTGTTAGAAACAGTCAGGCCACATGGTGAATGCTTTGCTGCTTAGAAATTTCTTCCACCAGATACCTTAAATCATTAATCTCAAGTTCAGAGATCCACATATTCCTTAGGGCAGTGGCACAATGCAGCCAAGTTCTTTGCTAAGCAATAACAAAATTGACCTTTACTGCAGTTCCCAATAAGTTTCTCATTTCCATCTGAGACCTCATCAGCCTGGCTTTCACTGTTGATTTCACTACCAGCATTTTGGTCATAACCATTAAATCAGTTTCTAGGCATTCCCAAACTTTTCCTCATCTTCCTGTCTTCTTTTGAGCCATCCACACTCTTCCAACCTCAGCCCTTTACCCAATTCCAAAGCCACTTCCACATTTTCAGGTATCTTTATAGCAATGCCTCACTTCTTGGTACCAATTTTCTGTATTCGTCCATTTTCACATTACTATAAAGAAATATCCAAGACTGGGTAATTTATAAAGAAAAGAGGCTTAATTGGCTCACAGTTCTGCGGGATGTAAAGGAAGCATGATCTGGCATCTGCTAGGCTTCTGGGGAGGCCTTAGGAAACTTACAATCATGGCAGAAGATGAAGGGGGAGCTAGCATATCACATGGCTGGAACAGTAAGAGAGAGAGAAATGGGAGGTGTTACTCACTTTAAACAACCAGACTGTGTGAGAACTCTATCACGAGAACACCAGAGGATGGTGCTAAACATTCATGAAAGATCCATCTCCATGATTCAATCACCTCCCACCAGGACCCACCTCCAATACTGGGGATTACAATTCAACACGAAATATGTGTGGGGACACAGATCCAAACCATAGTAGAGAGTGATGCTTTTATTGTGGTCTTGCCTAAGTTTTTGATAGAATATGATTAACTAAAAGCCAGTGTCATGCATTCTTAATTATATTAGGTTACACCATAAGGACATCTCTTACATTTGACTGTTTGAAACCTGTCAAACATTTTGTGGGGTTTGACCTATTAAGGCCCCCAGAAAAGTATAGGTCTTTATTTAACATTTATCAAGCCAATATTAACTGTTGGCTTACTTTATGAGCTATCATCCTCTTTCCTTTTCCTCACAGGAGTTGTCTGTATACTGTGCTTTTATGTTCTATTCACTTTTTGAGCTCACTGTGACCTGATTTCTATCTCTATCGCTCCTCAAATCTCTACCAAAATCAGCAATGACTTTCTATTTGTTAAATTTAAAAGACATTTTTCAATTCTTATTCTGCTGT